AAAAAAAAAAAAAAAAAAAAAAAAAAAATAGTGTCCTTGAGGACCCTGTCCCTCCCCCCACCCCTAAAATAATTAACTGTGACAGCAATATCCTCAGAGTGTCCAAATGATTTGTCCTAAGTACAGGCTGCATATCTCTTATCTGAAATGCTTGAGACCAGAAGTTTCGGATTCCAGGTTTTTTCAGATTTTGGAATATTTGCATATACAAACTAGTAGAGCATTCCTCATCTGTAAAATGCAAAATCCAAAATGCTTTTGAGCATGACCTTGGATCATCAAGTTAGTGCTCAAAAAGTTTAGGATCTTAGAGCATTTTGCATTAGGATGCTCAACCTGTACGAAGGTAAATTTACCCAACCTCTCTTTACTTGGCCTAAATGCATCCAAAAGATAGTTTTTGAGACACACAAAAGCTTCTGAGTCATGGCTTGGCTGCCACACTGGCCGTCCTGCCAAAATCTTTATCTGCAACTCTTCAGAGAACTAAGAAAGCAGATGGGCTGGGACTTTGTGGCCAGGCGGCTTTCAGCATCACTGGTTTTGGCAGAAGCCATTCAAGACAACAGTTAGAGGGGGAAAAGACATTTCTAGAACCTCTCTTACTTTTCAAGAGCAGAACTCCACTTGGGGTTTGCCTGTTTTTGGCGGATGTTTGCTGTGATTTTTGTTCCCCATTTCCCTAACAAGACAGCAGGTAGCTGCTGTCCCAGGCAGCACTCTGGGGAGAACTGGTAGAAGGCACCTTCTCTGGGCAGAAGCATCTATGTAGGCATGAGGCCAGGCTAACAGAAAACCCAGATGCAAAGAGAAGGTAACCCTCCCTCCAGGCAGATGTGCTTCACGTGAGGGCACCCACCTGGTAGGCAAAACCTATGCCTCCAGATGCCTTGAGTAGTGCACACAGTGCACAACCACCTGGCGTACTCAGGCAACCTCTTTTCTTTCTTTTTTTTTTGGAGATGGAGTCTTGCTCTGTGGCCCAGAATGGAGTGCAGTGGCGTGATCTCAGTTCACTGCAACCTCTGCCTCCCAGGCTCAAGCAATTCTCCCACCTCAGCCTCCTGAGTAGCTGGGATTACAGGCACCCACTAACAAGTCGGGCTAATTTTTATATTTTTAGTAGAGATGGGGTTTCACCATGTTGGCCAGGCTGGTCTCGAACTTCTGACCTCAAGTGATCCACTCCCCTCAGCCTCCGAAATTACTGGGATTACAGGCATGAGCCACCGCAACCGGTCACCAACTTCTATTGGTTTGATCGATACTTTGGTCTCGGCTTTGTTTAGTCCAGAGAGACTCTGTGGTGCATGAGAGCAGTGGGTTGGACAGATACACACAGGTGGCACAAGTGGAATGTAGTCATTCATACTCATCCACTTACTCAATATTATATGGCCACTGAGGTCAGCCGTGGTGGCTTATGCCTGTATTTCCAGCACTTCAATAGGCCGAGGTGGGCAGTTCACTCGAGGTGAGGAACTCAAGACCAGTCTGGCCAACATGGTAAAACCCTGTCTTTACCAAAAACACAAAAATTAGTCAGGTGTGGTGGCATATGCCTGTAGTCCCAGCTATTCGAGAGGCTGAGGGGGGAAGAGTCACTTGAACCTGGGAAGCAGAGGTTGCAGTAAGCTGAGCTCGCACCACTGCACTCCAGTCTGGGCGACACAGCAAGACTGTCTCAAAATAAAAAAGACACTGAATGTTGGGCTTTGTGCTCCTCAGAAATGTATAGTCTACAGGTAGAAAAACACAGCAAAGTCACAAGAAGAAATGCTCAACTGGCCAGGCGCGGTGGCTCATGCCTGTAATCCCAGCACTTCTGGAGACTGAGGCAGGAGGAGTGCTCGAGTCCAAGAGTTCAAGACTAACCTAGGTGACAGGCAAAACTGTCTCTACAAAAAAAACAAAAATTAGCCAGGTGTGGTAGCACGTTCTGTGGTCCTAGCTACTGAGGAGGCGGAGGTGGGAGGATCAAGGATTGCTTGAGCCCAGGAAGGGGAGGTTGCAGTGGGCGGAGATCGTGCTACTGCACTCCAGCCTAGGTGATAGAGCAAGACCCTGCCTCCAAAAAAATTTTTTTAAGCAGGCCAAGCATAGTGGCTCACATCTATAATCCTAGCACAGGGATGTCCAATCTTTTGGCTTTCCTGGGCCACAATGGAAGAACTGTCTTGGGCCACACATGAAATACACGAACATTAATGATAGCTGACGAACTTAAAAAAAAAAAATCGCAGAAATTCTCAAGTTTTAAGAAAGTTTAGGAATTTGTGCTGGGACACATTCAAAGCCATCCCAGGCTACATGTTGCCAGTGGGCCACGGGTTGGACAAGCTTGTCCTAGCAGTTTGGGAGGCTGAGGTGGGTGGATAGCTAGGGTTCAGGAGTCCAAGACCAGTCTGGGCAACATAGGAAGATCTTGTCTCTAAAAAAATTTTTTTAAATTAGCCAGGCATGGTGGCAGATGCCTGTAGTCTCAGCTACTCAGGAGACTGAGGTAGGAAGATCACTTAAGTCCCACAGATTGAGACTGCAATGAGCCATGATCACACCACTATACTCCAGCGTGGGTGACAGAGCAAGAACATCTCAAAAGAAATAAAATAAAATAAATAAAATTTTAAAAATGAGGAAAACCCCTGACATTCCAAAATAAAATTAACTTTGTTTTCTGGAAATGTTAAAGTGTGAACTTTTTACATATGTGTGCTGGTCACACCCTCTCCTGACTGATGATTAGAACGAAGAGATGAGAAAATAGTCATAAGTCCTATTTGGTCACAGGAACCCTCAAATAAGAGGATCCTCAAATATATTTCAAATAAGAGATAACTAGTTTGGCCTAATTGTATGGCACAATTGAAAGCACTTATTTCATCATCATTATCCCATTAGAAGTTTTAAAA